CCCCTGGTGGAATGGAGAGACTGGAGCGAGGAGTTGCTCTGGACGGCACTGAAGGCAGCACAGATGTACGCACCGGATAGTGAACTGGAGCAGAGCCTTGTTTGGCACCAAGCTACACTACCGGTTTGCCTAGGAGGACTGGGGTTGATAGACCCACTCTCGGAGGCACCAGCGGCATACCTCGCCTCTCTACACACGGCGAACACTCTACTGCGGCAAACGGTTTTGACGTCAGACAACCCCCTGAAGCGGGTGGCGGGCCTACTATCTCCCATTAGGGAGGAAGGAGAGACGGCGGGAGAGGGGGAGACACTCCAGGACCTTAGGAACCGGCTCCCAGAGCAGGCCCGAGATGTCATGAAGGCGCACCACCAGAAGGGGGACGGGAAAGGGCACCTGCAGCTAATCCTGTCAAGACACATTAACTTGGATAGGGCGGCGGAGCTGGTAGGCGACACAAGGAAGGATAAGCCAGGGGTGGACAACGAACATGTGATCCGACTCATAGCGCTGCAGGGGGTGGGGGCTGGAGATTGGCTTCACGCGATCCCCACGAGAGGCGACCTCACCTTCTCACCCGGACAGTTTGCAGTGGTGCTTGGTTTCCGCCTTGGACTGCCCCTGACGGTAACGGAAAAGTGCCCCTGCAAAGGGAAGCGGTCGGACATACGGGACAGGAGCCTCCCGAACCACCTGTTGCGGTGTGTCGATGGGGGGGACCACACGAACAGCCACAACTCACTGGTGTATGCGGATGGCAAGGGAAGCGGGCTACACCACCTTGCACGAGACGGCAGTCTTCTTGCCTATAACCAACCAAAAGCGAGCGGACCTAGTCATCCGTGACAATGAGTCCAATGAGACCTACGTCACCGACGTGACGGTGACGGACCCCGTCCTGCAGCGGCGAGACAAGCGAGCGGTAAAGCCACTGGGGTGGGCAGCAGAGGATGCGGCAAGGGTAAAGCGGGGATTGTATGAGGGCCGCCCTGGTTTTGTAGGGGTGTTCGGGTTAGCGGTGGAAACCTACGGGGCCTTGGCTAAGGATACCCAACGGTTCCTCCGCCTCCTAGGTACCCAGGCGGCAAAGACGAAGCAAAGACAGGGGCGGCTGACGGCTGTGGCCTCTAAAACCACAGCACATTACCGACAGCGGTGGTCGGTAATGCTCCAGCGCTGCCAAGCAAATGCCCTGATGGCTAAGTCCAACAGGGCACTTGAGGCGGCGTTCCCACAGGCGGCGGATGACCCGTGGGAACCAAGCCTCGGGGACCTGTGGCAGGTCCTCGAGGATGACCTGGCCCAGGTACTCGACCTGGAGGAGTAGAGGGCCAGGACAACCCCCTGGGGACCGCCTAATGCCTGGAGGCTCTCCTCGGCGTGGCAGAACAGGAGGGGAGTGGGGCCCCATGCAGTTGGGTGAGCAGGCCTGCAGTGCTGTGGCCGTAAGGACGGGTGTGGCGACTCTGCAGAGTAGTATGGCAAGCCTGCCTAACACATGCTTGTATGTGAATACCATCATTATCGCCTTGCATGCCTATGCCAACATGCTTGCTAGGACTGCTGATGCCTTGCCTGTACCTTATACACACATCAATTAAGGACTGCTTGAGATAAAGAGAGAGAGAGAGAGAGAGAGAGAGAGAGAGAGAGAGAGAGAGAGAGAGAGAGAGAGAGAGAGAGAGAGAGAGAGAGAGAGAGAGAGAGAGAGAGAGAGAGAGAGAGAGAGATGGCCTGGGGTTAGTCCTTAGCCGTTTTTCACCCTCTCATGCCACGTTTCCAGGCTTGTTTCCCTAGTATAAAGCACCTAGTGAGGAGTCCTTTTAGCTCATTCTTCACTGGTGAGTTCGGTTTACTCCCCAAAAACCGGCGGCTCGCTCGAGAGAGAGGGAGAGAGAGAGAGAGAGAGAGAGAGAGAGAGAGAGAGAGAGAGAGAGAGAGAGAGAGAGAGAGAGAGAGAGAGAGAGAGAGAGAGAGAGAGGAATAGCCTCTGCCCTCTGCCCTTAGCCTCTGCCCTCGGTTGCCTAGCTACTTAAGGGCCCGTCCTAGCCTTCTCCTCCTCATTGTTCAGTTGGCGGCTGGAATTTTTCGCTCGCGTGTTCGAGAGAGCGAGAGAGAGAGAGAGAGAGAGAGAGAGAGAGAGAGAGAGAGAGAGAGAGAGAGAGAGAGAGAGAGAGAGAGAGAGAGAGGAATAGCCTCTGCCCTCTGCCCTTAGCCTCTGCCCTCGGTTGCCTAGCTACTTAAGGGCCCGTCCTAGCCTTCTCCTCCTCATTGTTCAGTTGGCGGCTGGATTTTTTCGCTCGCGTGTTCGAGAGAGCGAGAGAGAGAGAGAGAGAGGAATAGCCTCTGCCCTCTGCCCTTAGCCTCTGCCCTCGGTTGCCTAGCTACTTAAGGGCCCGTCCTAGCCTTCTCCTCCTCATTGTTCAGTTGGCGGCTGGAATTTTTCGCTCGCGTGTTCGAGAGAGCGAGAGAGAGAGAGAGAGAGGAATAGCCTCTGCCCTCTGCCCTTAGCCTCTGCCCTCGGTTGCCTAGCTACTTAAGGGCCCGTCCTAGCCTTCTCCTCCTCATTGTTCAGTTGGCGGCTGGAATTTTTCGCTCGCGTGTTCGAGAGAGCGAGAGAGAGAGAGAGAGAGAGAGAGAGAGAGAGAGAGAGGAATAGCCTCTGCCCTCTGCCCTTAGCCTCTGCCCTCGGTTGCCTAGCTACTTAAGGGCCCGTCCTAGCCTTCTCCTCCTCATTGTTCAGTTGGCGGCTGGAATTTTTCGCTCGCGTGTTCGAGAGAGCGAGAGAGAGAGAGAGAGAGAGAGAGAGAGAGAGAGAGAGAGAGAGAGAGAGAGAGAGAGAGAGAGAGAGAGAGGAATAGCCTCTGCCCTCTGCCCTTAGCCTCTGCCCTCGGTTGCCTAGCTACTTAAGGGCCCGTCCTAGCCTTCTCCTCCTCATTGTTCAGTTGGCGGCTGGAATTTTTCGCTCGCGTCGGCCGCCGAAGCGCGGCCTTCGGCCGCGCGTGAGGGGACGGCAAGTAACCACACATAGTGCTGTTTAAAAACACAAGCATTACACACATGACAACTCCTACCGCGGCCTAGCCGCGTGAACAACAAAATGGAGCAACCGGAGCCCGCGCCTACATGCGGTGAGCTCCAAGGGCGTGAAGAACGCCCGTCAGGGAGCGCCACAGCTCCCGGACCACAAGCGTGCTTGCGCCGATCGCCGCGGCTCCAGATCCTGCGCGTAAATGCTGCCTCAGGCCCCGGACAGCCTCGTCAAGCTGTCCCGCAGCAGCAGCGCCACCCTCCGCGGGCGCAGCCAACACGGGCGCCAGCAACGAAGCGAGCTGGTCCGTCGCGTCCATACACGTGTCACGCTGGCGGCCGCGGAAAGTCTCCGGAGGAATCACGGGGAGAGACGAATGAGCGAGAACTTGAATCAGCAGCAACGCGTGGAGGCTCTCCGCGAGACGGTGGAGCTGGCCTAGTGTCGCCTCTGGAACACGCGTCTGCGGGGGCTGCAGCGCCTCCGTCAGAAACAGCAGCGGCTCATCAGCAGCAACGTGGTGGGAATGCCGAGCCGCAGCGCCACCCCCCGCAGCAACAAACTCCACCCCCGCAACAGGCGGAACCGGTGGCAAATGCAGACGAGAGCCGGGAGCAGGCGCCGAGACAGAAGGAGAAGGAGCCGATGGGGCGAGGACAGGAGGAGGAAATGCAGCAGCTGGCGGAGGGGCCACAGGAGGCTCAGCCAGACGAGGAGCCACGGGCGCAGGCGCGGCCCGCAGCGAACTGGTCTGACTCTGCGCCGCCCTCTCCTCGCGCACGGCCCGTGACACCTCCCGCTGGAGATCCGCCATTGTCACAGGCAGACGGAATCTCCCGCCACCACCACGCCCATGGGGGCCCCTCCAGCCCCCATTGCCACCAGGGTGAGCAGGCCACTGGGCCTGCTGCTGGTAGCGCCGGGGAGAGTTGCGCCGGCGCCGCGACGACTCGCGCTCCTGCTGGGGTGCAGGAGAATGGGGGCGTGATAGTCGGCGGTCCGGCGACGGGGGACGACTCGGCTGCACTGCAGGGGCCGCCGGCAGCGGAGCGGGAGCAGGCTGGTCCACGCCCGGTGGCGCAACCATCGGAGCCGGGCCGACAGTGGTGGCGGACGCCGCCTTCGGGGAAGAAACAGACGCCGGCGCAAGCCCGCCGGGGACAGAAACGGCAGGTGCAACGGGGGCGCCAGGGACAGGGACAGGGGGAACAGCAACTCCCCCAGCAGGAGCAGGCGCCGCCGGTGCAACAACGGGAGCAGGGGGAACAGGAGCGACAGGTGGAGCAGGAGGAGCAACAACCGGGGCAGACGGACCAGCCTCGCCCACGTCATGGGGACCCGCGGATACGAGGGGAAGAGTCTTTTCAGCGCCTATTGTCACGGGCTTCAGAACAGACGGCGGCGGGGACCCCGTCGCCGTGGTCCCCGCTCCGGAGGCAGACGACGGCTTTTCGAACGCAACCGACGCAGCGCCAGCGCGCATTGGCGAGTAATCGGTCTCTCCAGCAATCACCATCGCGAGGCCGAGGAGCGCGAGGCGGAGGGTCAGAAGCGGCTAGCGGACAAGGAGGAGGACCGGAGAACGGCTATCAGTCGGAGGCGCGTAGGGCTTTAACCAGGCTAGATAATGAGGATGACGAAAGAAGGGACCCCTCTTATAGGGAGGAGCCCATGCCTGCGAGCGAAGACGAAGGGACGGAAGGAGAGGATGGAATAAGGGAGAACGCAGGGAGGATGGGAGCAGGACCAAGGCAGTCCCGTGGCGAGCAAAGGGACCCGGCTCGTGGACCGTCCGATGCCGATCGTGCGGGCGAGATTCCAACCTCACCACCACAAGCGAGGACGAGCCGCGCTAGGCGAAATCGGGCCGCGACAGACACGGCTGCGGGGCGAGAAAATTCCAATTTCCCCCGCTATTTCTCGCCAGAGGAACTGGCGATGCGGGCAGACTGGTTCACGGACATCGCGAACTGGGATATCCCTGCCCTCTGCGACAGTCGGCAGCCAGCCCTGGCACGGCGGTTACCGCCAAACTTGTGTCACTTGTTTTCGCTGGCGCTACTGACTCCGTTACACCACCTGTCACGAAACCCGGAATCCGAGGCTGGTTGGCGCCGCCTCTTCTTTCTCCCGCGTCTGACGCTTCGCCGAAACTCGCCACAGAGACCGAACTGGCCCCAGATCAAGGCCCGGCTCCGAGCCTTCCATCGTGGCGAATGGGACCAACTGTACAGGGAGGCGATTGACGCAGTCAACACACCCGCGCCACCACGTCATCAACCCGATGCTACCGGGGTCATTAGCCGAGCCGAGGGCTTGGCGAAAAGGGGCAGTCTGCGCCGAGCCGTGTTGGCGTTAGAGTCAACGCCAGTCTACAAACCGACTCCAGAAATACTGGACGAGCTCGGACAGAAACATCCAAGAGCCGAACCAGGGACGACAACGTGGCCACCCAGACGAGAGTCAAAATTGTCCATCACCCACGCGGACTTCGCCAAACTGCTGGGGAGGTGCGAGAACGGGGTCGGTGCCGGACCTTCGGGGACAACTTTCGAGCACATGCGCGACGCGGCAATCACGAACGGACGAGTCAGCACCCATCTGCACGCATTGATAAGCACCATTCTGGGGGGCAACCTTCCAGGACCGGTGGCGGACCTACTGACAGCCTCGCGACTCATAGCCCCAGCCAAACCTGGTGGGGGTGCTCGACCAATTGCCATCGGCAAGTGCATCACCCGGCTGACAGCCAAGGCAGCCCTCGCAGCCATGGGCGATGCTGCACGTGACTACTTCCTGCCTCTACAGTATGGGGTGGCTGTGCCAGGGGGAGCCGAGGCAGTTATCCACGTGGCACGGGCGTATCTGGACAAGCTACCCAACAGCCTGGTACTGCAGACCGACATCTCGAATGCCTTCAACAGCATCTCTCGACAAGCCATCGCGACGGCGTTACAGGAGCCCGGGCTTTCGCCACTAGTGCCGCTGGTGAAACTAACCTACGGTAACCCGTCCAAGTTGCATCTCGACGCCAATTTCGAATGCGACCCACTGACCAGCGAACGGGGCGTACGGCAAGGCGACCCACTTGACCCTTTATTGTTTGCGGCGGGAATACACCCAGCACTTTGCGACACTGCCGAGGCATATCCCCACGTGCTTTGTCTGGCCTACGCAGACGATGTCACATTCCTGGGGAATGCGGCCGACACTGTAGCTGCATTCGATCATTTCACCGAGAGTCTGGCGCACCTGGGGCTAACACACAACGCACAGAAATGTGCAGCCTGGAGCAGGGAAGCAGAAGTGAAGGACCAGCTTCCGCAGGGAGTCCCTTTTTCCCAGAACGGCGTGCGCTTGCTTGGCAGCTTCGTGGGTCCAGACAGCGGGGCGTCGCAGTTCCTGTCGGGCCAGCTACGGGAAATGGCAAAACCTTTGCCACTCCTTGAGAAAGCCGACCCCCAGGTAGCATCACTATTGCTCACCCGCTGTATCTCGAGGCGGGTGGCATACCTCACCAGAACGACGCCGCTCCACCTTCTGCCTCACGACACCTGGAGTCAGTGGGGGATGGATCTGCTTACAGCGCTACTGACAGCATGCAGCATCCGTGTTCCCACCTGCCGCGCTGAACAAGCCCGCGTCTGGGCGCAGGCGTCACTGCCGCCGTCATTGGGGGGGATAGGCATTTCTGCCCCCCTAATCGAGGGAGTGTACGGTTACGCGGCGAGCTTCACACAGGCCGCGCTCTTTCTAGCATCACTTGAAGACGCCCCTGATGGCGCGCTGACGCAGGCCCGGGACCACATGCTGCTGCCTGCAGACGTCGCCACGCCTCTCCACGCATGGCTTTCGGAGTGCGAAGCGGCTTTACCAGTTGACGCTCGGGAGATCTTGGAGAAAGAGCGGCTGGAGCGATCAGACACCAGACTCCAGCATGCATTGGCACTGCGGGTACATGGGAGTAGATATGCCGTGCAGGTCAATGAGACACGACGGATGGCACTGAACCCCCTGTGCGGACACACTCAGCGGATGTACTCACTGACAGGTTATGGGACCGGGGACTGGCTGACGGCTATCCCCATTGCGGCAAACAGGAGGATAGGGCCCACCCACTTCTCTAACGCCGTGCGCTTCCGGCTGGCCCTCCCTTTCTCCACACCGAAAAACTGAGACAGCGCAGACCATACTGCCATCACGGACCCCCGCCTCCCTAACCACCTACTCCGCTGCGGCACGGGCAAGCACCGCATCAACACCCATAACGAGCTGCGCGATGCCTGCATTAGCATGGCCCAAGACGCGGGATTCATTGTCCACAGCGAGTCATCGGCGCACTGCCTCATTGAGGAACAGACCGCTGATTTTACAATGACGGACAGAAGCAGCGGTGCGGTCTACGTGTGCGACGTCACTATTATCGATCCTATTAGCACTAGGGACCCAGAGGCACAGAAGGGCAGGGGCTGGGCGGCACGGGAGCAGGCGGACAAGAAGATCCAGCACTACGCCGCCCTGCCAGAGACGGTGAATTTCTTCCCTCTGGCGGTAGACACCTACGGCTGCCCTTGCGCGGAGGTGCCAGTTTTCCTGAAACTCCTGGCGGACACTGCAGCTCGGCGCCACTTCAACGCCGACTCCAAATCATTCTATGCTGCAAAGTTTCTGCACCAGTTCAGGCAACGTTGGTCAGTGGCCCTCCAAAGGGCCCAATCTGTGGGCCTCTTGCTCAAACTTGGGGAGGCTGCGGCGGTAGAGAACCCGCCTGTGGGAGGGATTGGAGACGAGTTGCACCTTGGGGACTGCTTTGCAGTTATTGAGCCCCTAGTGGATTTGTAGATTTGTGGTGCTTGTGCCCTGCATGTTAGCTATCTATGCCTCAACGACCTGCATCCTTGTACTTGGCTGCTATATCAATACAAGGACCATTAGAGAGAGAGAGAGATGGCCTGGGGTTAGTCCTTAGCCGTTTTTCACCCTCTCCTGCCTAGTCCTTAGTCCTTCGACGTTTCCAGGCCTGTTTCCCTAGTATAAAGCACCTAGTGAGGAGTCATTTTAGCTCATTCTTCACTGGTGAGTTCGGTTTACTCCCCAAAAACAGGCAGCTCGCGCCGGCCGCCTTCGGCGGCCGCCGCTCGCCGACGCGGCCTCCGGCCGCGCATGAGGTGTGGCAAGGAGGAAGCAAAGGCAAGGATTATAAAAGTAAGGGGTACAACATGGATCACTAGCATCAACATTCAACAATCAACACCTCCGAGCGTGGCGGTCCAGCCATGGGGAAGCCCAAGGCCAAGCCCAGTACCAAAGGGGCGGGCAAGGGGAAAACACCCGTCACTCGGCGAGTATCCAGCACAACCTCCCGTCCATCCAGCGCAGGACGGATGCGGCTGCTGATACAAGGCCTAGGGGGGCCTGCTGGGCAGACTCAGCAAGCCGCACCATCGCCCCGGGGCCGGGCCCGAGCGCTGCACCAGGGGCGCCAGGGACAAGGCCAATCAAAGGGAGATAATGCAGCATCTCCGTTGCCGCGGACACCGTGGCTGACTGCTCCGTCAGCAGCATCCCCCCAACCTCGACTCCCTGGCGTGCCAAGCACACGTGGAGCTGGTCCAGAATGTAGGACAGCAACGTCAAGCACGTCCCCACGTGCATTACGCGCTGCTCGACGTGGAGAGGCGTTGCAGCCACACGAGCAGGAGCACGAGGAGCTGGAGGGATGGGAGAGAATAGAAGCACCTGGGGAGCTGGCGGCCAATGCAGCTGAGGTTGGGGCAGCGGTAAAGGGTTTGGTGGCGGCGGCTGCTGATACTGCTGAGCCAGGGGTGGCACCGCTGGTGGAGACCGACGTGGCTGCTGCGGCTGAGATGATGGATACGCCGCAGGTGGCGACAAAGGCGGCTGGGATGGCGGGGGAGGTGTCTGCTACTGGGACTGCTGCCGCCTCTGATGGCGACTTAATCTCATCCTCTGCTGTGCGCCCGACTGCGTCAACTCCACCTGTGGATGGGGGTCCAGCCGTGGTGGAGCCACAGACGGTGAGGGGGGATGCTGAATCACCGGCTCCGTTGTTTGGGGAATCACCGTCACCGCTTGGGGCAGCTGAGATTGAAGCGGTCGTGGCTGAGACAGGGAGACAATGGGAGGGACCCTTGAACGTGGAGACGGCGCCGACCGCCGCTGAGTCCGCCGGAGTTCGCCGACCGCCGCTGAGTCCACGTGCAGGAGCACGGCCAGGTGGGGAGTGATAGACCGGGCCCCGTGACTGGCGCCGCTGTCTGCGCCGCTCGCGGGAAGAAGGGGAAGACGCTCCACGTCCAGCCAGCGCCGAGGCGGCCAGGAGCAGGGCCGGGACCTGGCGCCCCGGGACCCCTCCTGGGCTAGCTGCTGCAAGGGCGGCCGCCACAAGAGCCAGAGCAACACTCGTCATCGCCGGCTGCCGCAAGAACACCTGCCACCGTCGTTCAAGCCGCAACCGCTGGGACCTCCGCGGACCCAGGCGAGAGACCGTCCCCGGTGACCCCGGGACCTGCGGAATTAGCAGAAGCAGGCAGAGGCGTCACGGGCGTCACGGGGACGCAAGGGACTCGTCGCTCCGCGAGGCTAGGCACGATCACTTGGGGACCGCCACGTGGCGGACGAACCCCCTGGATGCCGGCGGGTCGTGGGGCTACAAATGGCGCGGCGGGAGTCGCAGGAGGCGCCGGCGCTGAGCGTGGGGGGCGCGGGGATGCACGGGGTGGCTTCAGGGGAGGACGGGGTGGGCGCAACGCGTTGCCCAGAAACGAGATCCCGCTGCGAGCGGACACGTGGCGGGAGCGCCACAGTAGACCGGAAAGGGCAGTTCCGCCAGCGAACGAGGAAGCGGGTGAGCCTGACGATGAGGAAGCAGACCCGGGGTTTATGGGTGGGGAAGAGGAGACCTCAGAGGAGATCTCGCTGGAGAATGAGGATGAAACGGGGAGAAACAACCACGCCGGCGAGAGGAGAGTGACGAATGGGGAAGCAGCAGAGAATCCTGTGGAAGGGGCAGAGGAGGCAGTTGAGGAAACTGATGTCCCGTCACCGTTTGAGCTGGCTGAGGACGACTCCATCTGGCAAATAGCAGGAGGGTGGAATGTAGACACGTTAAGGAGAGGTGACCAGCCCTTCCTGGTCCGCCGTCTGCCACCTCAGCTGCTCGACCGATATTGCCTATGCATGCTGGCCACACTCCTGCGCCTACAGAAATATCCAACCTGCCAGGGGGGATGGACCATTCTGCAATTTCTCCCAAGGCTAACCCTCAGACCCGAGCCCGAACCCGTGACAGGAAGCAGGTGGGCAGTCATCTAGGCTCGACTGCATCAATTTCAACGTGGCGCCTGGGATGAGCTCTTCGAAAAAGCAGGGGTCATCCCTGACAGAGACACCCCGCTACGCCACCAAGCCGATGAGGAGGGCCTTTGTTCGAGAGCAGAAGGATTGTTAAGGAAGGGTAACATCTCCAAGGCAGTTTCGGCACTGCGAACAAGCCCGCTCGCAGAACCAACACCCGCCACTCTTGAGGCCCTCCAAGCGAAACACCCAGCTGCCGGAACGCGTTCGCCAGCATGGGTAACAGGCATCAACAACTCCGACTTGGCGGTTACGGCAGACACCCTTCACGGAATTCTAGCGAAATGCCCAAACGGAGTCGGTGCGGGGCTTACGGGGACCTGTTTCGAACACTTGCGAGACCCAGCTCTGGCCAACGAAGAGTTACTCCTACTCTTCGCTAAAATTATCAATTTTCTACTCAGCACCTTCCAACCTCAGCACGTACGGGATCTCCTCCTCCCCTCCCGCCTCATAGCCCTCGAGAAGCCGAACGGTGGCGTTCGACCCATTGCGATCGGGGAAGCGCTGCTGCGGGTAGTTGCTAAGGCGGCACTCCAGACCCTAGGCAAAGAGATTAGGGGATTTTTCTTACCGGTGCAGTTTGGCGTCGCGGTGCCGGGAGGCGCGGAACGCATTATCCACGTCGTCCGCGCCCTGCTTCGAGAGGATGAGAAGCAGATTGCGCTACAGCTGGATGTGGAGAACGCTTTCAACAGCGTCGAACAACCAGCCTTCATGGAAGCACTGCAGTGGTCCAGTTTGAGTCAACTCTTGCCCCTCGTCCGCAACCTATACGACGGCTCCTCACGACTGCTTGTTGAGTCGCGCCTAGGCACCGATCACATTCTGAGCTCCCGCGGTGTGCGGCAGGGAGACCCCCTTGGCCCTCTCCTCTTCGCAGCGGCGATTCAGCCCGCCCTTCTCAGTATTTCCTCGACGATGCCGGAAGTCGCGGTGATTGCCTACGCGGACGACATCACCGTCGTGGGCCCGCGAGAAGCGGCCAGTTTGGCCTTCACCACAATCTCCAACAAGCTTGCGGAGTGCGGTTTACGGTGCAATGTCGCCAAATCTTCGGCTTGGGTAGCATCAGAGGAGGGTAGGAATGACAAGCTGCCACTGGGTCTGGCAGCCAGCAGAGAAGGGATCCGGGTCCTGGTTAGCCCCATCGGCCGCGCAGAGTACTGCACCAGCCATGTCAGAGCGTCGCTGGAGGAGGCAGCGTCACCACTCCACCTCATCACCCAGCTCCACCCTCAGGCGGCCCTGCTAATCCTCAACCGTAGCATCTCCCGCCGCATCTCTTACCTGCTGCGGACGACACCGGCGACAGCCCTGGGCTTAGAAGAGTGGAGGGATTGGAGTGAGGCACTGGTGGGTACGGCTCTTGCAGCAGCGAAACTACGCATCCCGACATCGGAGTTGGAACAGAGTCTCTTGTGGCGTCAAGCGACTCTACCCATTCGGCTTGGGGGCCTAGGTATCATAGATCCTATATCTGAGGCACCTGCAGCCCACATCGCCTCGATAACGGCTGCACATACCCTCCTGCAGCACCTGGATCTTCCCCCCGACTGCTTGCTCCACAGGGCCATCCCACTGCTCTCCCATGACTGGTCCCCTCCCCCGCCAGATCTCAACCCCCTGACAGCCTTAGAAGAGTGTCTCCCAGCCCCAGCAAAGGCAGTCCTCACTCACTACCGAACGGATAACACAGGCACATGCAGCCTACAGTTGAGCCTCTCCAAGCACATCAACACGAAGCGGGCAGCAGATCTCTTGTGGGACACCGTAGTAGACCGACCGGGCAGGCACCGAGGCCATGCAATCAGGCTGATTAGCCTGAAAGGGGCAGGAGCAGGCGACTGGCTCCATGCAGTACCAACGAGAGCTGGCCTTACTATCTCCCCTGGTCAGTTCTCCTTGGCCCTGGGCCTCCGCCTGGGCATGGAACTGCCGGTAGCTGAAGTCTGCCCTTGCAAACGGCAGGGCTCGGCAATCTCGGACAAGAGCCTCCCAAACCATCTTCTACGCTGTCAAGACGGGGGTGACGCGGTCCGGACCCACAATGCATTGGTGTACGCTGCACTACGCATGGCAAACGAAGCTGGTTTCAAGACCTTTCATGAGACGTCGGCCTTTTCCCCTCCGGTCCTTAGGAAGAGAGCAGACCTTGCAATCCGGGATCAAGAATCAGGAGAGACCTGGGTGACTGACGTCACCGTGACAGATCCAATGTTGCAGAACAGGGATGTGAGGGCACGTAGGCCGCCAGGGTGGGCGGCCGAGGAAGCATCTCAGAAGAAACATAGGCTGTACGAGGGACGGCCGAGCTATGCTGGTTTTTTGGGCTTGCAGTTGAGACTTATGGGGCGATGGCTGCTGACACCCTACAGTTCCTTCGGATGTTGGCTACACAAGCGGCAAAGAAGAAATTCAGGCAAGGGAGACTCACCACCACTGCTGCTCGGCTCACGGCGCACTACCGCCAGAGATGGTCGGTGATGCTGCAGCGCAGCCAAGCCATCTCCCTTCTGTCCAAGTCTAACCGCGCGTCGGAAGCGGCTTTCCCACAAGCAGCAGCTAACCCCTGGGCCCCACGCCTAGGGGACCTCTGGCAAATGACCTATGACGAGTACGAGGACCGTGGGCCTCTGGCCAGGGCGGCTTAGAACAGTGCAGGGGAAGAGTGGGGCAGAGGGGAGGCCACGGGTCACAGGGAGAAGAGGTAGGGAGGAACACACAGGATGGGAGGGACTAGGAGGAGTATGGAGGAGGTACTGGTTACATTGGGACAGTGCTTATAGCTCGGGCCCAGGCTGGTTTTTGGGGTGCCTATTTGCCCGTCACCTGCTCACTTGCTTACTTGCTTCTTGCCCTGCTCGCTTGTATGCTGATGCCTTAACATCTCCGGCCATGCTTGTCTAGCTTAGCTTAGGCTCCCGTGATGCCTTACTTGCCTCTACCTTGTGATCCCTATCAATACGTGCGGCTTCTGGGAAGCTACCTAGGGTCCGATACGGGAGCGGCCAAATTCCTATCAAGCCAGCTGGAAGAAATGGCGAAGCCATTACACCTCCTCGAACGAGCTGACCCTCAGGTAGCTTCTCTGCTACTCACCCGCTGCATCTCCAGGCGTGTGGCTTATCTCACCCGAACGACACTCCTCCACCTACCCCCTCGCGATACTTGGAGCCAGTGGGGACAGGACCTGCTCATCGCTCTGCTAGTGTCATGCGATATCCGCGTCCCCACGTGCGGATCCGAGCAAGCTCGAGTATGGGCGCAGGCGTCACTGCCACCATCACTGGGAGGCATAGGCCTCACGGACCCTTTAATAGAAGGAGTGTATGGGTACACAGCGAGTTTCACCCAGGCGGCGCTCTTTCTATCCTCCCTCGCGCTAGAACCAGGCAACGCCTTGATCCAAGCTCGGAATCACATGCTCCTGCCACGGGACGACACCACACCACTGCACACATGGCTTACCGAGTGCGAAGCCGCATTGCCATGGGATGCGCGGGAGATCTTGGAAAAGGAACGACTGAAATGGTCGGATGTACGGCTACAACACGTACTCGGCCTAAAGGTCCACGGCAGCAGATACGCCGTGCAAGTGCAGGACTCGAGGCGCATGAAGCCGAACCCCCTCTCAGGCCACACGCAGCGGATGTTCTCGCTGACGGGATACGGCACCGGTGACTGGCTGACCGCGATCCCTATTGCCCCAAACAGACGGATAGGACCAGTACACTTCGCCAACTCCGTGCGCTTTCGGCTCGGGCTCCCGTTTTCAACGCCAAAGAACTGCGACTGCCCTGACCACACAGCTATCACTGACCCCCGCCTCCCAAATCACCTCTTCCGCTGCGGCACGGGCAAGCACCGCATTAACACCCACAACGAGCTGCGGGACGCATGCATTAGCATGGCACAGGATGCGGGGTTTATAGTTCACAGCGAGTCAGCCGCCCACTGCCCCATTGAAGAACAGACTGCCGATTTCACCATGACAGATAGAAGCAGCGGGGCGGTCTGTGTCTGTGATGTTACCATCACGGACCCCATCAGCACAAGGGACCCTGAGGCACAGAAAGGCAAGGGTTGGGCGGCACGGGAGCAGGCCGACAAAAAGATAAAGCATTAAGCTAACCGGCCAGAATCAGTTGGCTTCTTCCCTCTGGCGGTGGAAACCTACGGCTGCCCATGCGCCGAGGTACCTGTTTTCCTGAAGCTCTTAGCAGACACGGCGGCTCGGCGCCACTTCAATGCCGACTCAAAATCCTTTCATGCCGCTAAGTTTCTGCACCAGTTCAGACAAAGATGGGCGGTGGCCCTTCAGAGGGCCCAATCTGTGGGCCTCCTACTCAAGCTAGGCGAGGCGGCAGCAGCAGAGAACCCGCCTGTAGGCGGTATTGGGCAGGAGCTGAACCTAGGGGATTGTTTTGCGGTGGTCGAGCCCTTCCTGGAGCTCTAGAAGAGGTAGTCGGTAGGACTGGATACCTTGTTTGTTTGTTACCTAGGCCTCTATAACTTGCATGCTTGTACTTTGCTGCTATATCAATACAAGGACCATTAGAGAGAGAGAGAGAGAGAGAGAGAGAGAGAGAGAGAGAGAGAGAGAGAGAGAGAGAGAGAGAGAGAGAGAGAGAGAGAGAGAGAGAGAGAGAGATGGCCTAGTTTCAGTCCTTAGCCGTTTCTAGGCCTCTCTACCCTAGGATCTAGTCCTTAGCCGTTTCTTGCCTAGTTTTCTTAGTATAAAGCACCTGGATCTAGCTTCCATAGCTCATTTTTCACTGGTGAGTTGGGTTCACTCTCCAAAACCGGCGGCTCGGGCCGGCCGCCGCGTGAGAGGTGGCAAGGACAAAGGGAAGATCCATACTACATCATCGTGCAATACTAAGGATGCAGTACAACATGGACCAGTAGGCAAGCAACGACAGACACTTCAGGTAAGTCCCCAGAATGGGGAGGAAGAAGCAAACACCCGCTCCCAAGGCGGGGGAACCGACTACATCAGCCGCACCCGCCGCCCAAGCCACTGGAGCAGTGACGCGGTCGCAGTGACAATCCCAAGGGGCGCCTCCTCAGCCGCCGTGGCTACCCTGCGGAAAGCCAAAGCGCCAGGACCGTCGTCCAACTCAGGATCCTCCGGCTCCAAAGGCAGGTGCAGCAGCTCCCACATCGCCTCCGACAGTGCCTGACGAACCAAACTCTGCTGGACTTCACCAAGCTGAGGATCGCGGGCGACGAGCTGCCGACCCTGCAGGGCGAGGTGGAGCTGCTCCAACACCGTCGCGAGGCGCGTCACGCAACACCCGACATGGGACAGACGCTCCCCGCGCTCCTGATACTCTACTTCACCAGGTGGCTCCCCCCATCGGCGGCCCCACTGGGGTTGTCGAGGAGCGTCGGGCCAGCCGAGATTCCACCACTCCAACTGATGGTCCCGCGCAGCCCCAGGCCTCTCAAGCTCATCCCACCCGCGATAACTCCCGTCTGGCTGCGACGACACCTGGAAACACATCGAATCAAAGGGTGAGTGACGGGCAGGGAGAGAACAACCGCGGATTGGGAATGGACACACGGGAGGAGGAGCTGACACCAGCGGGAAAGGGCGCGTCAGGGGGAAGATTGGGCAAAGAAGGAAGGGGAGAAAGGACACCAACGACCGGGACGGAGGAGGAAGCCTCACCAGACCAAAGCGTGCAGCAGGGGAATGGGAACGAGGAACAAGGGGATGCTGTCGGCGAGGAGGCTGGACAAGAGGAGCAGGGGGAGGCGCCGCGGGAGGAGGAGGCTGTGCAGCCGGAAGAGGGGGCGCCGCTGAGCCCACAGGCGCCAACGAGATCATCAGTGTGGGAGGAGGAGGGGGGGGCAGAACTGACTGCGGTGGCGGGGCCGGGGGTGGAGGAGGCGGCTGCAACGAGGCATGTTGAGTCGGCGCAGGAAGTTGCTGCTGCACAGCCTGAGCAAGGGGAGACCGGAACGGCCTCGGCCGCCACGGCTGATGGCGAGGATGGCGAGGCGGGCGGAACTGCTGCCCGCGAGGTCGCAGAGAGGGATAGGCACGACCTGGCGGAGGGTGAAACGCAGGCGCAAGGGAATCAGGCGGACCACGCTGCGCGGGCCCCAAACCGCCGCTCGCTTCAGCTTCAACCAGGTCGGCGGTGGCTCGGAGCAGGGCTGACACCTGGCCGCCCTGGGCCTCTGTGGGGATGGGACCGGCAGTTCGGCCAAGAACAACCTCGCGGCGAGGGGCCTTCCGGTACTTGCCCGTCATCGTCGAGAGAGGCAAGAACAGCAGCGACGGCAGGAGACAGGGCCGCGGGACCACGAGGGACGGCGACACACGGCGAAGGGGAGGACCGGGAACTGCCAGGAGCAGAGGAGCAACCGCAAGAGCCGATAGCCACGGACCGCGAGCAGGGACCGCCGAATGCGGCGGGCAGAGCGCGAGGGCAAGGGCGAGGGCGAGGGCGAGGAGGACGCCGAGGGCGAGGGCGCAGGGGGGGGGCGGCGATCAACGCCCGCGAAAGGGTGAGATCCGGGCCTTGGCGGGAAAGGCACGGGAGACCTGAGAGGGTGTCAGAAGAGACGAACGCTGATAGGCCCGAAGGTGCTGACAGTGAGGAGGACGACGAGGCCTATATGGCCTCGGAGGAGGGTGAGTCAGAGGAGGTGTCGCTCGACGATGAGCCTGAGGTGGGCAACCACCATGCACCAACGAGATCTGGGAGACCTCAACAGGGGGAAAACGGGAGGGCGGAGGGAGAGCAAAACAATGTGGGGCCAGCACCAGAGGAGCGGGTTGGTCAACAAGCGGGCGAAGACATGGGCGAGATGCGTACCCCCGAGATCATTGCTGGCGACGAGGCCACCTGGCGGAAGGTGGAAGAGTGGGACGTGGACTGCCTGCGAGGCAGCGACCAGTCGTTACTAGCACAGAGACTGCCACCCAAAATGGCAGATTCATTCGCGGCATGTCTAGTCATCCCGGTGCAGCGACTGAAAAAGAACCCCACGTGCCAGGATACTTCTCTTCCTGCCACGTTTGACCCTCCGCGCCAATGTGGACCCCAACACGGGAAATCACTGGCTGGAGATTGAGAACAGACTTCAACAGTTCCAGCTGGAGAAATGGGAGCCACTGTACCTGGAGGCCAAAACCATACCAGACCACTCCAGACCGAACAGGCACCAGCCGGACCCAGAAGGAATCCGTGCAAGAGCAGAGGGGCTAGTTCAGAAAGCGAACTTGGTGAAAGCAGTTGCGGCGTTACAGTCATCACCTCTCGCAACACCATCGCCGGCGACACTCGAAGCCCTACGCGCGAAACACCCGGCTGCGACAACCGCAATCCCGGAATGGGTAACAGGGTGGAGGGCATCGACTCTCGCCACGACATTCGACAAGCTACGCGAAGTTCTGGCGAAATGCCCGAACGGAATTGGGGCAGGCCCCTCAGGGACATGCTTCGAGCACCTTCGCGAAGCTGCACTGGTGAACGGAGAAGTGCTCACACTGCTGCTGAATGTGGTCAACAACCTACTCGGCAAGGAACAACCAGAGAATGTGCAGGAGCTGCTACTACCTTTTCGTCTCATAGCTCTCGAAAAACCTGACGGTAGCGCGAGACCAATAGCCATCGGAGAAGCCCTGCTGCGCGTGACGGCCAAGGTTTCTCTAAGGGAATTAGCAACGAAGATCAGGAAGCACTTCCTACCGGTTCAATTTGGAGTCTCCGTCTCAGGTGGAGCGGAGTGCATAATCCACTCGACGCGCGGGCTACTCAAAGAGGAACCAACGCGAGTGGCGCTACAATTAGACATAGCGAATGCTTTTAATTCAGTGGAGCGCAGCAGTTTCTTCACAGCGCTTAAGTGGTCTGAACTACACCCCCTCGTCCCTTTCGTACGCACCTTGTATGGGAACCCGTCCCGTCTACTCCTGGATGAAGAATTCGACATCTCCCACATAGAGAGCGCACAGGGAGTAAGACAGGGCGACCCGCTGGGGCCAATGCTGTTCGCGGCGGCGATTCAAATGATGCTACGAAGGGCGGCGGACGAGTTCCCGTCGGTGGTGGTGATGGCATACGCAGATGACATCACACTGGTGGGAGACACGGAAGCTGCAGGGCGAGCAATGACGCACATCACCAACGACCTCCGCTCCTGCGGACTGCGGTGCAACTTGGCGAAATCATCCGCGTGGAGTCCGGCAGGAGTTCCCGATCACTTACCGGCGGGTCTGGTGGCGGCAGTCGACGGCGTCAAAGTATTAGGGAGCCCAGTAGGGACCGCGGCCTTTGGGAGGAGCTTCGTCAGAACGACACTGGAGAAGATTGCTGCGCCACTCGACGTCATCAGTGGATTGCACCCCCAGCACGCCACGCTCCTACTCGCCCGCTGCATCTCGAGAAGGGCGTCATACCTGCTACGAACAACACCGGTTGACCTCTCCTGCTGGCGGACTGGCGAGAGTGGAGTGAAAGGCTCCTCTGGACAATACTACGGGCGGCCCACATCTACACACCGGCAGACAAAATGAAGCAGAGCCTCCTGTGGCGACAAGCGACCTTGCCTGTGGCCCTGGGAGGCCTGGGCTTGATCGATCAGCTATCAAAAGCCCCAGCAGCGTACTTGGCGTCGCTCACGGCAGCCCATGCCCTGCTCCGGGACCTTCTGCTAGCACAAGGCAACCCCTTGGATAGGGCAGCGCAGCTGGTGTCACCAGGCCTGGAGGGACGTAGGGACAATGGGGAGGACATCCGCTGGGACATGTGGGCGCGCCTGCCGGTGGCAGGACAAGCAGTGCTACAGGCTTACCTGGAACGGGGGGACGGGAAGGGACACCTGCAACTGATGCTGTCACGCCACATCAACCAGGAGAGGGCATCAGAGCTGATAGGCGACATACAGATCGACAAGCCGGGCAGCGACAACGGGCATGTCCTCCGCCTCCTGAGCCTGCAGGGGGCCGGGGCAGGAAACTGGCTGCATGCCATCCCTACCCGGGCAGACCTCACCTTCTCCCCGGGACAGTATGCGCTTGCAATAGGCCTCCGCCTTGGCCTCCAATTGGCGGTAACGGACACGTGCCCATGCCGGGGGGTGCGGGCTAAGATAGGGGATAAGAGTCTCCCGAACCACTTGCTGAGATGTGCGGAGGGGGGAGACCGCACGACGACACACAATGCGCTGGTGTACTCTGCCCTCCGCATGGCAAAGGAAGCGGATTTCCTCACCCTACATGAATCGGCCATCTTCAGCCCTATAACTAACCGAAAACGGGCGGACTTGATCATTCGTGACAAGGAGTCAGGGGAAACCTGGGTGACGGACGTGACGATGACGGATCCTGTGCTCCAACGTCGGGACAAGAGAGCGGTGAAGCCGCCGGGGTGGGCTGCAGAGGAAGCAGCCATAACGAAGCATGGCCTGTATGCAGGAAGGACGGGCCGGGTCGGATGCATGGGACTAGCTGTGGAGACGTAAGGGGCCATGGCGAGAGACACCCAACGCTTCTTACGGCTCCTAGGCACATCCGGGGCTAGGAAGAAGTTTAGGCAAGGAAGGTCGACAACGGTGGCCTCGAAACTCACGGCCCACTACCGCCAATGTTGGTCGGTACTCCTCCAGCGCTGCCAAGCCAACGCCCTACTCGCCAAGTCGATCAGGGCGACGGAAGCGGCATTCCCACAGGGCCCTGCTGACCCTTGGGAGCCTCGGTTGGGGGACCTGTGGCACGTCCTGGAGGACGGCTAGGGCCGAGACTGGAGCTGGGAGGAATAAAGGGGGGGCGGTCTAGATCCCTGTGAGTGACAAGGGCCGACCCGGGTTGCCCAGGGGCTAGGCCAAGACCACAGAGGGGGTGCTGGCGGCCGGGGCCTTGGGCTAGGGTCACTTGCAGACTAGGGGGAGAAGACCAGTATGGGCTTTAGGCTTGAACGCTATCTGCCATGCCTTGCCTATATGCCTAGGTTTGCTTGCTTGCTTGCTGGCTTGCTTGCCTGATTGCTCGTTAGATCCACCCCTGCCATGTCTGTACTTTTAAATATCAATGAAGGACCGCTTGAGAGAGAGAGAGAGAGAGAGAGAGAGAGAGAGAGAGAGAGAGAGAGAGAGAGAGAGAGAGAGAGAGAGAGAGAGCGAGAGAGAGTACCTTTGTTGGGAGAGATTTTTTCCCCTCCACATGGGTCATTTCGTTTGCCACAACTCACCCATGTTTGGGATGATAAACATAGCTGCAACAAAATTGTAAGTTCGCACTTCCAAACCAGTTACTTGCTTTCACTATCCTCTTGAGAGGTTCTTTTTTTTTTTACCTAGCTTCCAGTCTGAAATCGTTAATACTACAGACCGAATAAAGTACCATACTCTAGAACCTGAAAAACCATGGATAGCTTATATTGGGTTGGGGAGCTTATTTGAGCTTAGTTAGAGATATGTCTGGACTTGAACTGGCAACATTGAGGAGATATGTCAAGGGTGCTCACCTTAACTGCTATAATAATATAATATGTATACATCCAGGTCAATGAGTTCCTCAAAATGCACTAGTCTTGCCAGAGTAATTTTCCTTATCCCATGTCCCGGATGTGTTACAATCTTGATGGATCATCACGATTGATCGTAGGATTGTAAAATAATCTGATTGGTCTAACAGAGTGGATCCATCATTACGTGTTCAGTTCTCCTCCCCACGGCCAACTCCCCTGTATTTTGGCCATACACTCTCGGCCCTTGTCTCGGACGAGCGTGGTAAGCCCAGTAGTCGAAACTGGTGAGGTGCCTGATGACCTGCACTCGCCCAGATCTGGCATATCCTCTCAGCATCCTTGCTCGCTTTGTTGCGACTAGGAGACACCGACATGAGAGTTGGTCAGGTGCTAAGAGGGTACTGCGCAGTCTGGCTAGTACTTCAGGCATGGGGCTTGGGCTCGGAGAATGGAAGCCAGATGCACTCACGTAACACACTGAGGACGCATCACCTCTTTCGAAATTGGCAGGTTTGGAGGAGGATTGGGGGCTCATACCGATCCTGATATGATCGATCTTAGCACCGGTGTGCCCCCAGTTAATATTTGCGATCGCGTCAACACACCGAGCCATGGGTTACAAGATCGAAAATTTATGTGGCAAAATTGCACGATCAACACACTTACACGATCGCTGTTTGAGGTCTGGCACATCTTGTTGTCAAGTTACAAAACTGTAAGTATTGACTAAGGAAAGTGAAAACAAGCAAGATATATGCGACCTAACCCTAACTCTAGGAAATATCGATGTCACACCTAGATTAACATAAACAACACATATAAAATATATATTGACACACCCCCATAGTCTAGGTGACGGTACCATAGTCCTGTGAAAAGCAACACAAATCTCAGAGTGGGTCTCAAGGACACACACAGTCTGAGAGCAAGCAAGGGTCACATGACCAGTCAGCAAGAACAAGCAAGGGTCACAAGACCAATCCACACGAACAAGACAAATCTCAGGGTGGAGCTCAAAGTCACCACACACTCCGAGAGCAAGCAAGAGGCCACAAGGCCGGTCCACATGCAGGTATATAGCAAATATAAGGAGATGCAAGAGTACAAGACAAGCAAGACAAAGCATCTCTACGTAAGCAAGTGAGGACGGGCAGGCACAAGGCCTAGCTGGGTGCAGAAACGCTGGTGGTCATAAGGCGGCAACGCCTTGGTGAAGATATATGCCGTGTTGGCCTCAGAGACTACACGTCGTACGAGTGCCTAGCCACGCTGCTGCAACTCACGCAGAAGGAAGTAACGAAGCTGGATGTGCTTCGCCTTCCCAACCAGTCGGGGCTCCTCACATAACAGGACAGCAGACCTGTTGTCTGCGAACAAGACTGGGGGAGAGCGAGGTCGCTCACCAAGGTCGGTGAGGAGGAAAGACAGCCAGCGAAGCTCCTGAGCGGCCATGGCCGCAGCGTACACCTCTGCCTCACAGCTGGAACCGGCGATGGACGACGCCCGAGTCGACCGCCACGAAACAGCACCTGCCCCGAGGCTAAAGGAGTACCCCTGTGTAGACCGACGCGTCTCCGCGTCGTCGGCCCACGACGAGTCCGAGTA